GATCGGTTCATGGCTTTAGCTGAAGAATGTCTATTCTGCTCACTAGTAACAGTGTAGTGTCCTCATCTATTCATTGCCTTCCCTACTTTCCTAGATGAGTTCAGACTCATAATTATTCCTCCCTGCTTATTTTGAACTGATTCTCATACTTGCTGTTTTGCTGAGAAAGTTGAACTTCATATACTGGCTTATGGGTTTTTCTATAATGTATTTAGTTGTGGATTCTTTTTTATCTATCCTGGTTTGGTCATTTGGGCTTCTTGAATCAATGAATCGGTATATTTTACTAATATCAGAATTTGCTTAGCCTTTATCTCTTCAAATATTGCATCTGCTCCATTCTTTCCTCTTCTGAGACATCAGTATTCTCACTTTTTCCTCTTCTGCATTTTCTGCTCTGTGCTGTCTTCTGGATAACTTCTTTTTACCTTTTCCATTTTCCTAATTTGCATTTCACTGTTGTGTGAACTGCGGTTAGACCTGGGTTCTTAATTTTGGCAATTTTGTTTTCCAGCCTTAGGAATTCTATTTGTTTTCAGTTTTGCTGTCCTTTAAAGTTTCCTGTTTCTTGAAGATCTTTTCAGGCTTGTCTTTTATTTTCTCAAATAAGTTAACTATAATTTTATAATTTGGGTCTGATAATTCTATCATCTGAAGTCTTTGGTGCTCTAAGTCATTTTGTGTCCACTTAAGAAGCTAGAAATCCCTTAGATGTTTCTTGGAGGGAAGGATTTAGTGATAGCAGAGGTGCTGGAAGAGTTGGGGAGGAGGGCATCTTACCTGGTTGCTCCTGCAGGCATGACTGCTGTTCCCTCAAGTCTCAGCAACCAGTGTGTACAGTTACTTGCTTTACATTTCGATTTCCCTTTACACTCTTAATTTCTCACAAGTGCTTCTCTTGGGAGCAAGCTAACGAGATTCCAGTTAGAGAGAAGTCTTCTACATGTAGTTTTCCGGCTTCTGATCCTCTGCGACAGAGACAGAAAAGAGCTGAATACCAGGAGACAGAATCTGGAACTGGGTGTATGCCATCTGTTGTTTTTGCTATTGGTTTTTATTCCTAGAATCTTGTTTGTCCTTTTCTGCTTGGTTATTTTTGAGTTCTGGCATTGCAGAATAACTTGGAATAATTTGATGCCCAAGGTTTTTTACTTGCTTGTCACATCCCAGGGAGTCCTTCTTTAGTCCAAACTTAGACATTTCCTGGAGAAGCTAACTGGTGCTGGATATCCTTGCAAAAGCTTGCTTACTTTCTCTTCACATCCTGAGAATCTAGCTCTTTCCAACCTAGTTTAATGGGGGTGGGAGTATCCTAAACCCAGCTATGTGATTCTTGCCTCAGGCTGAGAAGGTATCCTTTGTCAAAAACTCAATTTGAATCCAGGCCTGCTCTGAGTTTAGTTTTTGTGCTTTCCTAGATTACAGCCTATTGGTTTACTATTGTTAACTCTTGAATACTTTTAAGAATACATGTGATACTGTACCCACAACCTACTTTACTTCCTTCTTTTACCCCTTCCCCTCCCCTCTTCTCTTTGTCTTACCCTCCTATCCCCTCCTAGGCTGGCCTTGAACTTCTGGCTAACATTTTCTATTCTTTTTTTCTTTTGTGGTACTGGGGATGGAACCCAGGGCCTTACATGTGCTAGGCAAACATTCTTTGTCTCCAGCCTACATTTTCTTTTTGATAAAGTAATAAAATTAATTGGGGCTGAGAGAGGTGGCACATGCACGCATTCAGGAGGTGAGGCTGGATAGTGAGTTCCAGGCTCGCATGGGCTACATAGTGAGACACTGTCTCAAAACAAAACAAAATTAATTGGAATTTTAATAGAAATGATTTTATATGTTCAAGAATCATTTAGCACCCACCATGATCATAGTATTTCTTCTGTGACTCATCAAGGCTACAACCAAGTAAATAAAAAGGTGATTGCCAGCAAGGTACCAGTGGCTCACGCGGTAATCCTAGCTACTCAGGAGGAGGATCAAGGTTCAAAGGCAGCCTGGGCAAATAGTTCACCAGACCCTATCTGGAAGAAACCCAACGCAAAACAGGGCTGGCAGAGTGGCTCAAGTGGTAGAGCACCTGCCTAACAAGTATAGGGCCCTGAGTTCAAACCCCAGTACCACCAAACAAAAAACAAAAAAAGGTGACTGCCTTCTAGAATCTGAAGCATATAAAATCTGCTTTTCTATATGTGACAGTTTATTCACAAATAGCCATTCTTATGCAGTCTTCTTATTTCGATAACCTATATATAATGAGCAACTGAAGCAGTTAGCATTGAAATTTTAAAATTATTTCCTGTGTCATTTTTTAGTAATTTTTTTCACTAGTGCTTCTCAGCTATAGCCTTCACCTCATTCTTTTCTTTCTCACTAAGGGCTTTAACTGCTTACAAACCTACAGCATAAGAATATACTATATGTTTTATCTACTCTGGAGCAACTTTGGCTGTTTTTTTATGAAGAGAGCTGCTCTGATTCAAAAAGTCCCATTTGAAGTCTTCTGAAAGTTTTTATATCTGCTCTGATGGCAGGAAGTCAGGACAAGACAAAAATCCTCAGGTCACGGTTTGGGAGGGGTAAAGACCTTTGTCATTTTGACTGTAGTTGCACTTAGCAGTATTTTGATGGTCCCTGTATATAAATAAAGGAGGTGAATTAGTAGATAATTTAGTCTCTGAAAAAACTCTGTAGTACTTTAATAGAAATGTATGTGAGGTGAATGTAGGTAGTTTAATGTTATCCTCTAAAGGTTCCCTTCCATTTCATTTGATTCCACATTTTTTTTGTTGTTGTTTGTTTTGTTTTTGTTTTTAAGGCAGGTTCTCCTTATGTATCCCAGTCTGGCCTCAGATTTATGATATTCCTGCTTTTGCCTCTGATCAGCCTGACCACGTTTTGTTTTAAATTGAATTTAACTGAAGTTGGCTACCCAAGTAGATGTCTAAATTACACAAGAAGCTGGGGGGGGGAGGGGGAAAGTGATTCAGTCAAGTCACTAATACTGGAATTGATACAGTACTTATTTGTTTGGATATTTTGTATTATTATTTTACTTTCAGTAGACGTTTCTTTGGAAAATTGACCGTATGTCAAAATTCTTCTAAGTACATACACAAGAGAATTGAAATCATGTCTACACAAAAACAAATGAAAGTATAACATACTCAACCAGCAAAAACTCTTGTTCCTTCATATTATTGCTTATACTCTCTCTACAACAAAATTAGAAATAAGGGCAAAATAGTTTCTGCTGGGTATTGGGGGGGGAGGGAGGGGGCGGAGTGGGTGGTAAGGGAGGGGGTGGGGGCAGTGGGGAGAAATGAACCAATCCTTGTATGCACATATGAATAATAAAAGAAAAATGAAAAAAAAAGTATAACATTGATCATAATAGCTAAAAATTAGAAACAACCAAGATGTTCATCAACTGATGAGCAAATGCAGAATATGGTATGTCTATACAATGGAATAAAGGTATAAAAAATAGTGAAGTCCTGGTACATAGATGGACCTTGAAAACTTGACAAGTGAAACAAGCTCATTGCAAGAGACCATACAACTAACTGTATGATTCCATTTGTATTAAATGTTCAGAATAGGCAGATCATAAGAGACAGAATGTACATCAGTGGTTGCCAGGGGTTGGGGTGAGGGACTGCTGTTGGATCTGGGAGGGTTTTTTATTGTTTTTTGTTTCGGGGAAAGGGTCTTGCTGTGTAGCTCAGGCTGGCCTTAGTCTCCTGAATGGTGGGATGTGGGCAGAGATAGGGGATTTCTTTTGTAGATGAGATGATATGAAGTTAGGTACTAATAATTGTTGCACAGTTCTATGAATATGTTAGAAAACCATTGAAGTAAGCCAGACTTGGTGGTATAGCTATGGTAATCCCAATGCCTGGGAAGTACAGGCAGGGGATTGTGAGTTCTGAGGCCATCTCTGGGTTACATAGCAAGTTCCAGTTATGTAGCCTGGGCTACATAACTATACCCTGCCTCAAAAGACAAAACGCCACTAAATTATACATTTTAAAAGGATGACTTTTATATAGTATTAGTTATATCTCAATAAAGCTATTATCAACAGAAACAAGGCATGTATGTTTAACCACCAGGGTAACATAATTTAGACAGAGTCCCAGAAGACGCCTAAATCCCCTTCCTAGTCAGTGCTACAAATTATTCTTGGGAGAAAAATAGCTACTGTTTGCTTTGCAGAAGAAGCCATTGTTTTAGACTAGGCACGAAGCTTTATGTTCCAAGCACTAGCCAGGCCTAGTAGGGGACTTTTTGTAAAGTGCCATTTTAATCAAATGCTTCTTTGTATTTCCATGGTGCCAATGTGATCTACCTTTGGCAGCAATAATAATAACTCCTGCCTTTAAAAACAGATAGCTGTGCACTCCTTTTTTTTTTTTTTTTTTTTTTTGCTGTTCTGGGGTTTGAGCTCAGGGCCTACGTCTTGAACTACACCAGCCCTTTTTTGTGATGAGTTTTTTCTTTTTAAACTAGAAATAATCTAGAGTTTACCTAATATTTAAAAGAAAAAATTCTCAGACTGGTGGAGTGGCTCAAGTGGTAGTGCACTTGCATAGCAAGAGTGAGGCCCTAAGTTCAAGCCCTATGGAGGGGAGGATGGAAGGTCTTGTGCTTTTATTTTTTTTAATTCTTTTGGTGGTTTTTGAGAAGATCATTGCATGGTAGGCTAGAAGCTATGCCTCTGGCCCCACAACTACTTATCATAGTTTATCCTCCTTTATCATAGAGGTATTAGAGAAGTGAGTTATTAATACTATTTTTCAGGCGAATCAGATTAGCATTTCTGATCTTAAATTTTAAAAGAAACTATATCTGGTCTAGCATGTACAACACCCTGGTTTTGATTTCCATCACTGCAAAAAAAAAAAAAGAAAGGAGTGAGTCCTACATGTTTATGTGCTCTCAACTATTTTAAAGCCAAATTAAGTCAGTTTTGATTTTTTGCTTTTTAGCGATGTGTTGGCATTGCCCATTTTCAAGCAGGAAGATCCCAGCCTTCCCCTGGATGGTGAAACCAAACACCCTCCCTTTCAGTATGTGATGTGTGCTGCAACATCGCCAGCAGTGAAACTGCATGATGAGACCCTTACTTACTTGAACCAAGGTTAGTATGACCTTGTCATATACTGCTATGTAAGTATTTATAAAAAATCAAAATAAATGTTTTGGCATTATAGCCTAGATTGCTGGTAATAATTTAAAATTAATCCTTTTTCTTAAATTGTACACTTTTAGTTCATGAAAATTGTAGGAATTTTTCTGTCAGCCATCTGAGTAATAGTTGGCAGAAGCTGATTTGCATTAAAGAAGGGTCTGGAGCAAGATTTATTACAGGATTTTTCAGACATCCAAAGGAGGAGCAAGTAGGAAAGGATGTCAGTTATTTTTAGGGACAGTGGCTTCAGTGTGGAACTTGAGAATGAATCAGAAGTCCAGCTAGCCACCTGTGTCTTGGATAAGAAACAGGTTTGTGCTGAAAATAGATTTAAGCTGCAACAAGATGGAGTCTGGTTAAATAAATTAGGTAAAAGTTTAATCTGCTCATTATTTTATCCACAGTTTGTCTTTGGAAAGCATAAGAGATTTTTTTTTTCTTTGAAGTATCGGACATGGACTTCTATGACTTACCACAGAAAAGTAAACAAAAGTAACTGTTATGCAGGATTTATTTGTTAGAATCATAGACTGAAAGCATATTGTTCTTTTTTTGTATAGTGTGTGTGTGTGTTACTGGGGTTTGAACTCAGGACCTACACCTCAAGCTATTCCTAGCCCTTTTTTGTAAGGGGTATTTTTCAAGATAGGGTCCCAAACTATTTGCCTGCGCTGGGTTTGAGTCGCAGTCCTCTTGATATCTGCCTCCTGAGTAGCTAGGATTACAGGCATGAGCCACCAGCACTTGGCTAACTTAGTTCTTAATTTTAATATAGATGATGAAATAATTTGAGCCCAAAGGGTTTTTGTAGGCTTAGTTTTTTCTGCAGGGATTCATATATTGTATTAAATGATTCCTGCAAACAAAACGATACCAATGTATAATCAACCATTCTTTTTTTGTTTGTTTTGGAGGTAGTGAGGTTTGAACTCAGTGCCTTTCACTTATTATACAGAGGGCATAGAATAGGTTTCAGGATAGGGTCCTGCAGGGTACAGGGATAGGTTTCAAGATAGGCACTTTTGAACTGTTTGCTCACGTTGCCTTTGAACTTCGAGATCTACCTGGTCTTTGCCTCCTGAGTAGCTCAGATTATAGGTGTGAGCCACTGGTGCCTGGCTCATAATGTATCTTGCAGCATTTGTTCAGTTACAGAGCAATCCTCATATTAGGACTTGTACATCTGTAGCTTTTGTGTTTTTTTTTTTCTTTGGTGGGTGGGTATGGATGCTGGGGATCAAACCCAGGGCTCTGTGGATGCTAGGCAAGTGCTTTTCCATTGAGTTACACCCCCAGCACCCTTGCTGTGGTTTTTGTTTGTTTGTTTGTTTTGTTTTGTGGGACTGGGGTTTGAACTTGCGAAGCAGGCACTCTACAACTTGAGCCACACCTCCGGTCCCCCCATTTTCCTCTGGGTGTTTTGGACACAGGATCTCCAGAATGGAATTATTTGCCTGGTCTGGTCTCGAAATGTGATCTTCCTGATCTCAGCTTCTCAAGTACTTAGAATTATAGGTGTGAGGTACCAGTGCCCTGCACCAAGAGCCTTTTGAGTATGATGTTCCCATGAAGAAGTCTTGATTTCTTGGTATTGGAAAAAGTATTGACAGTACATTTGTAGCTTTACATATAGCAGTGGTTTTCCAATGTTAGCATGTGTCAGAATTATTTGGAGGGCTTATCAAAATGATTGCTGTGCCCCAGAGTTTTTGTTTTCAGTAGGTCTGAGACAGGACCCGGGAATTTGCATTTTGGACACGTTTGTAAGTGGTGCCACTACTTACCTGGGGACTGCTCTTCAGTTTCTTATTACTTTGAATATTGAGGCAAATACACTATTGTTTTAATTTCATTTTGTTTATATTGTGGGGTTGGAGATCAAGACCAGGGCCTTGCACATGCTGGGCATGCACTCTGCCACAGCTAAACCCCCAACCCTCTACCATCAGTTTTTGGAAGATGGACTTCCTCAGAGGGCAGGTAGCAGTAGTTAGGAGCTGAATGTTCTTTGGCTATAATTTGCCTCTTTGATGTATTTCCCAGTATGTAATTCTGTAAAGAAAATTAAAAAAAAAAAATTGTAGTCTTAACTTTTTAACTCAAGTACAAATTGAGGTAAGATTTCTTAACGTACTGTTTTAGAGTATGGTTTGTGTATTCTTGAAGCATAGGAATACAGAATTTAAAAATTATGCGTTTACCTGGTTTGTCTGAATAGCCATCTGGCTCTCACTTTGGCTCTGGAGTAAAAACTAGTCCCAACATGGCTTTCCCTTTGAGCAGGTTTATGGCAGGAATAGGTTACCCTTGATCTTTACAGCTGGGGGCTGAGTCTTTGATACTTCCTCACTTCATGATGTGAGTGAGACTTATCTTCTTGCTGTACTCTAGATTGGCTCATTGCTGCTGCTGGATCACCACCTAACTCTTCAAGTAAAAAGCCTTTCTTTTCATTTTCTCTCAAAATGCCTGTTCATTTGGAAGCCAAATTCTACTTGGAAAATAGTCTGCTAAGAATATTAATCAACCAGTATTACCTACTTTGAAAACAGGTGTTAGGCTCTAGGAAATAACATTGTTTATCGACTTAAAATTTCTGTTAAATGTTTATAAGATTAAAAAAATAAAAATTTTAATTAGCTTCATTTTATTCCACAGCATATTTCCTTCTCATTAGTTTTGACTAATTTTAATTAGCTTCATTTTATTCCACAGCATATTTCCTTCTCATTAGTTTTGACTACTGTTAATAGATTAAAGTTTTATGTTAGAAATACAGTTTCTAAGGCTTTGAACTTAGCCAAGAGGGAGCTGTCACATCTTGGACTCTTGTTCTAGAGTCCATGATAAGGAAGCTATCTTCAAAGGTGGGAACATGAACTCATATGAGTTATATTTTTCAACTCTGGAGTAGTTGTGTTTCTGAGCAAAAAAACCCAAAATACCAGAGTATGGAATGGAAAATGAATTCCAAAGGTAAAACTAAAAATAGGACTAGCATCTCAGATAACATTACTGTTTGTGTTCACTTTATAGTTCATTAGGTAAGTGAAACTTTATAGTTCAGTTAGAACTAATATTTTAGGAAGTTGTGTAATTTAAAAGAATTATGGACACATGACTGAAAGAAGGAGAAATTAAATCTGTAAAAGTGTTACTTTTAGTAGATACTAGCGTTGAAGAAAACATGACTTCTATGCAAACCATTTGATGCATAATGTGTTAGCAGGACCATTTTTACAACCCACTTTTGATTTTGGGAAAATAAACATTTAGAATGCTTTAATGAACAAGAGCTATTAAATTTTGATCAATTTATGGAAGTAGGTTGGAGTTTGTAGAGTATAGAAGTTTCTTCCTTAGATTGTCCAGGAAGAATAATACTAAAGGAGATAGGAGCACTGAGATTTTCTTCTTTATTTGATTGTGTCAATCCTGAGGATTGTGAATTTCTGAGGATCACAGGATAAATCCCAGTCAGACAAAATCTCTTTTTTGTCCTTGGCAGCCAAGTGGAAGTGCTTCCACTTGGAAGTTCATTTCATCCACCTCCCCCTGGCTGCTTTTCTTTGGGTTGCTCTTAGGTGATCCTGTGTTTAAATGGTTCTACCAACTACTTCACCCTGAAAAGTCCTCTGTTAATACCTTCAACCAGGATCTCTTTCTGTAGCTCCAGATTTTATATCCACTTGATTATCAACCTGGATATCCACTAGATATCTCAGAGGTACTATATTCAGTTGAACTCTTGATTTTCTCCAACCCTGGTCTTTGCAGTCTTCACCATTGTCAGTTGTCACTCACCACGTGGCAACTATTCTTCAGTTCCTTGACCAAAAATCTGGAGTAATCCTCACCTCTTTCTCTCATACTTTACATCCAATAAAACAGAAAACTCTCCTTTCTGTACTTCCAAAATATCTCCAGTAAATGACCTCTTCTTACCACCCCACTCCTGCTTTGAAAGGGAGTGACTTTCCCTTTTCAAACTGAAGGACTTAGACTACTCTGAATATTAAAAAGTGATTTGCATTTCTCTCATGGAAATTGAATGACTTTTAATGTAAGTTGGCATTTCCTTCTTTATGAACTTACATGTTCTTTTATTTGCTCATTTTTACCTTGAGGTATACTGGTATTGCTTAGCGATCATGTGAAACTTTATTTATTAGGGAGGTCAGCCCGTTGTGTGTAATGAAAGTCAAAAATACTCCTCCTTGAATTTTTTTGCTTGTCTTGACCAGTCAGAATCCCTAAGTCAAAAGATGTGATATTAAACTTATTGACAGGTGGATACAGATTGCCTTTCAGAAAGACTTTATTGGTTTACATTCTATACATTGTATGAGGTTATTTCTCCACATCTTTGCCTGTTGGGTTGTTATTTATTTTTTATTAAGATATATTTGTTATCCAGAGGGGATTAATTGTGACAATTCCAAATAGGCTTATATTGTACATTTGTTAGATCACCCCCACTAACTGTCCCCCTTAACCCCCTCCCCACCTTACTTAAAGCATTTGCAAGAGGTTTCTTTGTTCCATTTCATAGAAGTATATGAAGTCCATCCACCCTAATGTCCTCACCTTAATCTCCTTCATTCACCCTTTCCATATCCCTCAAGTAACCCCCACATTATACCTATTTTACAGTCCTGTCTTTTGTTATTAATATTTAAGTTGATATTCAGAAGGATTTCTCATGGTATCCCCACTGTAAGTATACTTACTTTGGCTCTTTCGACCCCTGCCATTGCTCTCCCTTACCCTTTTACCTCCCACCACCCATTTTTCTTTTCTTTTCTTTTTTTATTTTATTTTATTATTCATATGTGCATACAAGGCTTGGGTCATTTCTCCCCCCTGCCCCCACCCCCTCCCTTACCACCCACTCTGCCCCTTCCTCTCCCCCCTTCCCCCTTAATACCCAGCAGAAACTATTTTGCCCT